AAACGCCATTGAATCCTTTCCCCCACTGTGATCTCACATAACTATAAAGAGGAGAGGCCAGCTTGTGCTATTTGCTCTGGGCTGTTGAGATTATGAGGCGAGCGCTTGAATTCTATTTTAGCCATAGCTGGATGAAATTCAAATCACTCCTCAATGCAGACACTGTTTTGATGACTGACAAGCTTTAGAATGGAAGTCTTTGAAGGCCTGTGAAAGTTCAGCAAGCCAGAAAAACGTGCCAATAAGCTAAGTACACCTGTTAGGAACTGAGTATCAACGTTTTGCATAAAAAGGCAGAACAACCTCATCGCTGTATCAGTATGTGTGTTTGAAAATTCAATGATATAAAGGATACATACACAAAATGCAAATTTAGGTTACAATTGAGGTTACTCTGAAATGCAGAGGGAGTGGTATCTTTGCAACCCAGGCTTCCTATATTGTCGGTGTCATACAGGCCTTGTTTGGATGAGGCAAACTAATTAGAGTGTGATTCCCAATATTTATCATGGAGTGACATATAGGCGCTTCATTCTGCAGCAGCTCCTACTATATACACGGTTTGAACTGTGTTGATTGGTGCAGAGCCAGAGGTTTTTAATGTTATGAGGAGAGTAAGCCACTAAGTCTTAACCCTTCTGGCACAATCACATGAAAGAGGACTAATCTACTGTCAGCCAGCTGTCATATATGAATACTTAAGAGTACACAACGCTTACTCCTCAAGTGTGGCATCCAGGAAATGAGGAAAACACTCAAAAAAATACATTTTCCATTTCAATATGGAACATGAAGAATTCATATCTATGCCAATTTGCAAAGGTTCAACACGTTTATTGAATATCAGAGTTGTCTATGCCTCTTGTGTATAGGTGAAAATGGTAAGTACGAATTTCATGTATTGTCATGGAAACAGTTGACATGTTGTCAACTTCATGTGGTCCAATATACACTGTCATAGGAAGTGTTTTATATGTGATTCTAGTGCATGATATGTTTCCTCTTTCTATTAGCGTCAAACAACTTAAACGTGCCTTTGTGGTTTGGGACAGTACACCACCTGCTTTTCTCCATGGAGTGCTCTTTTTAATCTTGGATGAATGTATTCCAAATGCCAAAAACATACATATAGATATTGTGTGTGTGGCTAAAGATTAAGATTAAGATTAAGAGACCCTTTATTCGTCCAACAGTGGGGAAATTTCAGTGTTGCATCACAAGTTTTAGAACAGTAAGAAAGAGGAGCACACGGCACAAGTGAACAATAGCTATACTAATTAAAAACATATATATATTCTAACGCATCAAATAACAAGTATATAATCTATATCTCGTAAAACTTTTATACTTCTTTTTTATTATTATTATTTTCATTTGGAAAAATATGAGACAAATATAATGTATGTGTGTGTGTGTATTCTATTGCAAACAGCTGTCTCTGCAACCCCTATGTCCACTGCACCTGCTGGACACTCCTACACTTCCAGTATTTTTATACAACCCATTTCTGTTTAATAGCACACAGATATTCTAGGTATATACAGGTAGAAAGCAAACCTACTCTTGCAACAACAGCCGGATGACCAGGAGTAAATGCTGAACTCTCAGTAGATTCGACAGTAAGTGCACTGTTAATAAAAGCCTAAAACCCTTTTTGCTGTGACCTTTGATGCCAGCTGTTAGATACCAGTCCTTTATGAGATGAGTTCTGTATGTTTTCACATTAACATCTACACCTCCGAGATGGATGTGGCAAAGTGGATCCGAGCAACTGCCCTCAGACCTTAAGAGCACATTTACCGCATTTCAAAAGCCAATGACAACACGTTCAAAGCCGTCTTTCCATTATACCTAAAAGTGTGCTCTAAATTACACTCATTTAAACTGGGCTGAGGACTGCTTTTAGCCGAATAAGTCACTTTGCCCTAGTGACCACAGCAAAATCTACAAACTGGCTTAAAGAGGGGAAAAAGGAGACAAAATAATTGCAGATTTACAGTGGCCGATACTACAGTAGTAGCTTTCTTCCATCGTACACCTTAATGCATTGACCATTAGAGCATGTCCAGAACGAAAATATACCCTTGTGTCTCAATTATAGATCAAGAACGTTTCTCAAAACAGCGTTATTGGCCATAGCAAGAAAAGACTATTCTTTTTGTAGACACAAAGACCTCTCAAGCATGAAGTGCAAATGCATCTTTACATCCATCCATCCATTTTCTACCCTTTAATCCATTTCTGGGTCAGGGGGGTGGCAGTCAGAGATGCCACCCAAGTCTCATAGCACCAGCCCCTCACTGACCCTCTGCAGGTGGTGAGTCCACAGGAGGACAGCTGCTCACTGAGTGTGAGCATAGCCTTGATCTTTCAGTGGGGGCTTTGGGCAAAGTGGGGTTAAGTGTCTTGCCCAAGGACACAACGACAGCAGTCATCAGTGGGAGTCGGTGGAGAAGGTGCAGAGGTGGGAATTGAACCCACGACCTTCTGGCCTTAAGACCAATGCTCTACCAACTGAGCTACTGTCGCCCCGTCTTTACAATGCTGTGTAATATTAATCATCGTGACTGTTGGGACCGGGACGCCAATTAAAGTTGAAGAAAACCACCGTATAGAAATCTTGCCATAATCCTCTTGTTGAATCCAAACAGAATAGCATTTACGTTGCACCCCACACTGCGCTTTGATCTGCCATGGAAACAAAATAAAGTTACATTTGGTGATTTTAACTTGGAAAAGTTATTTTGTACACAACAGGTAGTGGCATAAACTCATATAACATAAATATAAAAGAAGACCAGGGCCATTTGAAATCTGGAGCGGTGTAGACAGGTCGCAGTTTTGAATATACAGCGCAGGTATTAGGTTTGACAATACAAAGGGATATAGGATGGCTGGTGATCAAAGTTGCCTTTTGGAGTTGAATATATTGCATGTCTTTCCGGTGTGCGTAGGGGGCTTTATGTTTAATGGTCCACACTCTTGAGGAAGGCGCTGAGTGGGATGATCAGAGGCGAAGAGGAGAGCAGCACAAGAAGAGGCAGCAGACACAGTTGAAATATGTGACGAGAATTAATGACATATAGGCAAACAGGCCCAAGTCAATAGTGGGTTTAGGCCACTAAAGCCCTACATGTGTTTCTTAAAGTGATAGTCTGGAACTCTAAATTAATTACAAATTTTAAGAATTGTATTAAATTGACCTCCTGGCCTTAAATGTTGATATAAAATAAGTCATTTTATTAATTCTGATATTACGGGCAAGTCCCGCCTTCCCTGCTCTTAGCTATAGCGCAAAATCCACAATGCTGTCCACGTTAACCAACCAAGTGATGCCAAGGGCTGTCAATCATCATGCTCAGTTGTTGGTTTTTGCGGAGCCTCCGAATCAAGCCTCCACAGGCTCTGGAACTTCATGAAAACTGAACAAAGAATTCTGAACATCCGCGCTGAGTTACCCATTTATATACTGAACCTATATCCATAATCATTTATATACTGAACCTATATCCATAATCGTTTATATACTGAACCTATATCCATAATCATTTATATACTGAACCTATATCCATAATCGTTTATATACTGAACCTATATCCATAATCATTTATATACTGAACCTATATCCATAATCATTTATAAACTGAACCTATATCCATAATCATTTATATACTGAACCTATATCCATAATCATTTATAAACTGAACCTATATCCATAATCATTTATATACTGAACCTATATCCATAATCATTTATATACTGAACCTATATCCATAATCAGATCCTCTGCAGATGTGTCCAGTAATGTTCAATTCATGATAATAGCTACTTCCGGGTTTTCCGTGATCGCTTTTTTTGTGCATTAAAACATAATTTTTTTCATGAAAACGTTAACAAATAATTTTTAAACCTCCATGCACGTGTATTAATAATGTATATGTATAATGTATTTTCCGATTAATATTACGGACATTACATTACGGTCTACACCTACGTTTTCCTCCCCCTTCAGAAAGGAAGGGGGAAGGAGCTTGCGTTGTTTTTTAAAAATCAAGTACCTCTCTCTCTTTTTTCTGACAAACTCTAGACAATCACTTTAATCATGCTTTATCAATGGTTC